CATAGGATTTTCCATATAGCTGATCATGATGTCTGCAAATAAAGACAGTTTTACTTCTTTCTTGCCAATCTGGATACCTTTCTTTTCTTTCCTGGACTTACTGTACTAACTAGAACCTCAAGTACAATGTTAAATGGAAATGGTAAAAACAGACAATCCTGCATTGTTCCTGATCTTGAGGGAAAACATTCAGTCTTTCACAATTAAGTATCGTGTTAAATATAGTTTTTTCATAGGTATACCTTTTCAGAATAAGGAAATACTTCTATTCCTAGTTTGGTGAGAATTTTGATCAAGAATGAATGTCAAAAGCTTTTCCAAACCTCTTGAGATGACCACATGATTTTCCCTTTTGTTCTGTTAATATACTGAATTATACTGAATTACACTGATTTCCATTTGTAAGATAAAGCCATATTGTTATTTTCATTGTGAAAATTTAAGACTTTTTGCATCTGTGTTTGTAAGGGATATTGGTTTATAGTTTTATTTTCTTAAAATGTCTCTGCCCTGCTTTTAACAAGGCAATGCTGTCCTCAACAAAATGAAATGGAAAGAATATCCTGCTCTCCAACTTTCTGGAACAGTATATAAAGAACTGGCATGATTTATTTCTCAAATGTCTGGCAGAATTCAAAAGTGAAATCATCTGAGCCTGTAGGTTTCTTTGTGGGAAGGTTTATAATTACAAATTTGATTTCTTTAGATAATAGGGCTATTTAGGTTATCTGTTTCTTCTTGAGTAAGCTTCAGTAGTTTACTAGTTTCAAGGAATTTGTGCATTTCTTCAAAAGTTGTTGAATTTTTTGGCAGAAACTTATTTATAATATTTGTTATCTCCTTTCCAGTTTTTTATGTCTAAAAAGGTCTTTATTTTGTCTTGCCTCAGGATAAAATTCTAGGTTGCTGGTTGCTGCATTTTTTTCCCCCTTTGAGTACTTTAAAGCTCTTGCTTCACTGTCTTCTCCCTAGCAAGGGAGACATTCCTTTATGTATTTTTTTTTCTCTGTTGCTTTTAACATTTTCTTTATCACTAACTTTAAGCAATTTGATTACTATATGCTCCAGTGCAGTTTTTGCACTTGGGTTTACTGAATTCTCAGAACTATGGTTTTAACAGTTTTCACCAAATTAAGGAAAGCTTCAGTTGTTACTTCTTCATCTCTTCTTTTAGTCAAACGATGACTCCAATTACTTGGATGTTAGCCACTTGAACATAAACCACAGCTCACTTATGATCATGTTTTTTTACCCCCAGACCTTTCCTCTATGTTCATTTTGGCTAGTTTCTACTGCTATGTCTTCATTAGTCTTTCTTTCAGCAACATGTACCTGTAATTAATTCCATCAAGTGTATTTCATCTTAAATATTGTAATTTTCATCTCTAGAAATTTGATTTAGATACCTTTTTAATCTTCCATGTCCTCTATTTAACTTGTTCAATCTTCCCTCTAGCTCAGGAATCACAATACAGTTTATAAACCAAATCTGATGCACCCCTCTTTGTGACAAAAATTGTACTCCAGTGTCCAGACACGTCCATTGGTTTACATGTGGTCTATGGCTGCTTTTTTACAAGAGTTGAGTAGTTACAGCAGAGGCTACATGGAGCTCAAAAACTAAAATATTTAGCATCTGACCCTTTAACAAAAAAATAGGTGAACTCCTGATGTTAGCATACTGAACATACAGAAGACAAATATAATAATTGCTATAATGTCATTGATTCCATCATGTATGTCATTTCTGGGTTGGTTTAGAGTTGGTTTAGATCCTCATATGGATCATATTTTCCTGCTTCTTTGTATGACTGGGTATTTTGATTAGATGTTAAGACTCAGTAAATCTTACTTTTGAGTATTTGATATTTTTCTATTCCTGCAAATTTTCTTGAGCTTTGTTCTGGTATACATTTAAGTTACTTGGAAAGAATCTGATCCTTTCAATCTTATTTTTAAATTTTGTTAGGTAAAACCAGAGCAGCATTAGTGTTAGCCAAATTTTGCATCACTACTAACGGAAAACCCTTCTGTGTAGTAGTACTCTAGTAGATGCATCGTGAAGTATAATATTTTTCCACTTTAGCTATTGGGAACAGGCAGTTTGTAGTATGAGCTTCGGGAAATTTTTTCTCTAATTCAACTTGGTTTTTAATCCCCAGCCTTGGGTAATTTCCCAGCAGATGTGTGCCGATCAATACTCAGCTGAAGATGAGAGAGGACCTTCTGCAGATCTCTGGATCTCTTTCCTCTCCAGCTCTCTGACCAGGGAACTCTAGCCACCTTGAACCCCTAGATACCTAGCTCCATCTCTTCAGCTCAAGGTGCTTACCACGCTCCACCTGCTCACCTCACTTGTTTCCTGTCTCTCAAGGATCACTGTCCTTTCTTGCCTGCCATCCAGTATCTTGAAAACTGTTATTTTATATATTTTGTCCAGGTTTATAGCAGTTTCAGTTTGGAGAGTAATTCCAGTTCCTGTTACTCCATCTTGGCCAAAAGCAGAAGACTTAAAAGCTTACTAAAATTTTCCAAGCAGGGAAAATTGCTTAAAGGGTAAATGGAAAATCATGATAAAGTAAACAGGACCTAATTATATTACTGTATATATTTAAGGAAAGGAAAGGAAAGGACAATTTTCTTATGATATTTATTATCATCACACTGATTGCTATTTTTATAGAGGTATCCATTAAAAGCAAGTGATTTATTCATCAAAATATATTTTATGGTTAGGAGTCATTCCATAACCAATATATTATTACTGGTAATAAAACAAAAATACCTATTAAATTGTAACTTTCAAAATGTCTACACATGTGCTTAGAATTTCAAGATATTTACAAACATGTAATTATATTTAATGTCTCTAGAAATTTTTTTAAATTTAAGTAATTTCAGACTTACAGGAAAGTGGCAAAAGTAGTACAAAGAATTCCTAGTCCCCTTTCCTCCAGACTCCCTAAATATCAGTATTTTACCATATTTATGTTTTTAAACGAATGCATTAAGAGCTCATTGTAGACATTAAAGCCCTTATACCCAAAATACTTCAGTGTTAATTTCCTAAAAACAAAGACATGCTCTTAAACAAGCATAATGCAATGATCACTGATACAAATACTTGTATATACAGATTTTATTCAAATGTGCCAACAGTCCCACAAACATCCTTTATGTCCTTTATTTGGGGGGTGGAAGGCAGTGTTGAGAAACTAATGTTCCTGGACCAAATCAGGATAGCCACCAGTTTTTGTAAATTAAGTTGAGCTGGAATACAGACATACCATTCACTTATGTATTGATATCTATGGCTGATTTGGGGATATAAAAACTAAGATGAGAAGTCACAATAGCCTCAGTATGGACCAGAAAGTCTAACATGTTTATTATCTGGCCAATTATAGAAAACATTTGCTAACTCCAGCTTTAAAACAAAAGAAAAATTCTTCTTCCTGACCCAGGATTTAGTTGAATTTAGGGGTCATGTCTTTTTGGTCTTCATTAATCTGCTATTCCTCAGTCTTTCTTTTTCATGATCGTGATAAGTTTGAAGATCAAATGCTGTTTATTTTATAGAATGTCTCTCATTTGTGTCTGTTTGGTGTGTTTTCTTATGCTTAGATTTAGCTTATGCATTTTTGGCTGGATCATCACAAAAATGACATTGTGTCATCCTCCTCAGGATGCACATGATGTTTATATGTCCATTACTAGTGATGTTAACTTAGATCACTTCATTAAGGTATTGTCTGCCAAGTTTTTTCACTGTTATGTTACTATTGTTCACTTTATAATTAATACATACTTTGTGAGGATATGCTTAGAGACAAAGTAAATATCTGTTTCTTATCAGACTTTAAATCAATAGTTTAAGCATTCACTGATGATTTTTGCCTGAAACAATTATCATTGTAGTGGTTGCCAAAGTGTAATTTCCTAGTTCCATCATTCCTTCTACATGTATTAGGTGGAATTCTGCTTTAAGAAAAAGAATTCCTCTCCCTCTACTACAGGATCATTTCTTTAACTCAGTGTAGACTTTTAAACTGTATTTTATTCTATTGGTTCTTATCTATTACTATCATTATTTATTTTGAGGATTAAAGTGTCCATGATTTGGCTAAAAGGGAACCTCTTCAAACTGGTTCCCTTTCTGTGTCCTTCTGGCATGTCCCCATCATTCTTTGTGTGCAACACCTTTTTAATAATAACAATAACATGGAAATAACCCCAATGGTCATCAATGTGAAATATTAAAGGAGTAGTGTGAAGGCAATGAAAAACTGTGGAGACATGAAAGAGAACAAAGTAGAAGACGTACAGTAAGTGGAGTTAAAAGGCCCAGAACAATGGTAGAGTATGATGCCAGACGATTAAAAAAACAAAACAAAACACAAGCATATGCTTATATACGCACGTAATTTTCTTGAAAGATACTAAGAATACAGGATTAACATTAACTCTAGGATATAACTGTGCAACTAGGTGTCCTACCTTTTATTTTACAACTGCTGATTGCTGAAAAACTTAAAAATCATTTTCAAGACTAATACTTTCAAATAACATTTGTAATTAAAATGTGTATTGTAAATTAGAACACAATGTAATATTTATAGTTTCCTTAAAAGTGAGTAAAATTTTATATTTTCTTTAAAATTCTTTTCTAAAGCATTTATTAAATATCCTCAGGTGCTACCCTAAATGCAGCTAGATTGGCTAGATGTAGGAAGCTATCTTTACATTGTCACCCTATTTATATTAACTGTATTATACTCAAGATTCTTGAAAGGTTTTACACCTTCCCCATTGAACTATATCCTATTATCCTCTTTTTGGTGAGGTGGGGGAGGGAGGATGTGGAGGAAGGATGGGAATAAGCTTATGATCTAGATACCAGTATTTGAATAACTTCTTTTCAAGAGCACCTAATACAGTTTTTAAGATGACAGGATCTGATATTTCCATGAAAGGTTCGTGTGAAAGACTAAAATGCTTACCTAGTGAGTCGTTTAGGTGGAGGCCGCTCACCAAATTTTCTGGAAAAAATAAGAAAAAAAATAAATATATAGGCTGTACGACACATTCCGTAGGAAGCTTTTTAGGCACCATGAAATCTCCTTTATGACTTATATTTCAACTCTACTAAAGAACAGCATAAAGGAAAATCCTCTAATAACCATCCATGCCCAGAAATAACAAAATACGTACTTTAAAAATGGTTCCTAAACAAAAAACGCACCCTAAATAGGCCTTACACACCCACTCTGAGCATGTAGCACAATGATTAGACGAGGGTGACAGGTACCTCCTAGAGACACCTTGCAAAAAGCAAACAAACAAAACCCAACAATGACAACAACTAATCAAAGACCCCCAGTCTCACACAACCTGCAACACTCAGAAAAATCCTCAAAGCCCAAGAGGTGGCATAGAGCTTAGTTTGTCATGTGCCAGGAACTTTGCTGTACATTCTTTATACCTTACCATCTTTAATCATTACAAAACAATTCTGTGAAGTACATAAGGGCTCATTTTAAAAAGGTAGAAAGCAACTTGCCCACAAAGTAAATTAAGTGGTAGGCAGAGTTAAAATTTAAACCTAGAGGTTGACAAATATTATCAAAGTTTGTATGGAACCACTGAAGAACCAGAACAGCTAAAGTAACCTTGAAAAAGAAGAACAAAGCTGGAGGTATCACAATTCCAGGTTTCAAGGTATATTACAAAGCTGTAGTAATCAAAAACAGTTAGGCACTAGCACAAAAACATGATCACAGATCAATGGAACAGAACAGAAAACCCAGAAATAAACCCATGCTTATATGGTCAATTAATTTATGACAAAGGAAGCAAGAATATACTATGGAGAAAAGAGGCTCTTCAATAAAGTGTCGGGAACACTGGACTACTACATGCAAAAGAATGAAACTGGACTATTTTTTAATATTATAGACAAAAATAAACTCAAAATGGATTAAAGACCTAAATGGGAGACCTGAAACCATAAAAATCCTAGAAGAGAACACGGGTAGTAACATCTCTTCATTGGCAAAAACAACATTTTTCTAGGTAGGCCTCCCAAGAAAGGGGAAGCAAAAGCAAAAATGAACTATTGTGGCCACATCAAAACAAAATGCTAGTGCACAGCAAAGGAAACCATCAACAAAACAAAAAAGGCAACATAATGAATTAAAAATTAAAAATTAAAAATAGAGGGGTGCCCGGGTGGCTCAGATGGCTGAGCGTCTGCCTTCAGCTCAGGTCATGATCCCAGGGTCCTGGGATCGAGCCCCGCATCAGGCTCCCTGTTCGGTGGGGAGCCTGCTTCTCCCTCTCCTACTGCCATTCCCTCCACTTGTGCTCTCTGGCTCTGTCTCTCTGTCAAATAAATAAATAAAATCTTAAAAAAAAATTAAAAATAGAAATTCCTCATGACCCAATAATTCCACTACTGGGTACCCACCCAAATAAAATGAAAACACTAATTCAAAATGATATAAGCACCCTTATATCTATTGCAGCATTACTTGCAATAGCCAAGACATCAAGCAACCTAAGTGCTGACAGACAAACAGATAAAGAAAATACGGTGTGTACACACACACACACACACACACAGGAACATTACACAGACATAAAAAAGGGAGATCTTGCCATTTGAGAAAACATGGATGAACCTAGAGGGTATTATGCTAACTGAAATAAATCAGACTGAGAAAGACAACACCCCTATGATGTCACTCGTACGTGAAACCTAAAAACAAAACAAATAAACAAAATCAGACCTATAGAGAATAAACTGATGCTTGACAGAGGGAAGGGGTATGGGGGGGCGGGGAGGAATAGGTAAAATGGGTAAAGGGGAGAGGGAGATACAGGCTTCCAGTTACAGAATGAATATGTCATGGGAATAAAAGGCACAGCATAGGGAATATAGTCAATGATATTGTAATAGTGTCGTATACTATCAGAGTGTAGCTACATTTGTGAGTTCAGCATAACACAGAGAGAAGTTGAATCACTATACTGTACACCTGAAACTAGTGTAACCTTGTGTCAACTATATGAAAAATCCTAAATGTTGTCTACTTAACTAGCTCATACTATATGGCCCTTCAGAAAGAAATATGCTAAGTGGACAAAAAAGCATTTCAACTGGTTGTAAGAGGGCAAAGAGAAAAGCCTGAGCAAGGACAAGAAAGCACAACAGGCTTGAGTTAGAATACAGCACGAAGGTTAAGAAAAATGCTCTAGAGTGAGATTGGCTGAGTTCAAATCCATGATTCAGATCATGCCATGTGACTGATGTTACTTGACTCCCTAGACCTCAGTTTCCTCATGTGTAAAATGAGCACAGTGACTGTGTTTACCTCAAAGAGGTGTTAAAGGGATTAAATGTGTCAATATATAGAAAACACATAGAACAGTGCCTGGTACACAGTAAGAGCTCAACAAATGTTAGTAGTTATTACGGTGTTTTAGTTATAAATCAGTAAGCCAAAACTATGAAATAAAGGAATTAATTGGGATGCTAACAAGGATAAGTAGGTACAGAGGAAGAAGAAACTAATTCCTACGTGATGCCCTATTTCCTCTGAAATAGGAAATCAGGTCTTCGGAGAGATGGTGGAAGCACAACCCTTGAAAAAGACCAACAGAATTTTGTTTTCTTTTTTAAGCAGATTGCAGTTATAAACAGGTTAAATGACTTGTTCAGTCACAGTTAGAGGCTGTGAAGCCTAATCTGACTTAAGATTTCTCCACTGTATTTGATGTCCCACAAAATTATCAACTTTGATGATAAAGGTCTTAGAATCCAATGCAGTTCATTTTGTTGTGTAACTTAATGCCATATGACGTTGTTTATGAACTCACAATTTATAAACAGTGGGTATCTGTGACTATGAATATTTTTGTTAACCCTGAAATAGTGAAAACTGACTTATTTGAAATAGCATAAGAATATGAGTAAATAATCCAAGCTTTTGTTGGAAGATTTATTTATTAATTCTTTGATTTTACCCTATAGGATATTAAATTTTAAAAACCAAGAAACAAAAAACACAATGTTTTGGTAGGAACATCAGCAAGGCCACTGAACACCATCGGTTTTAAAACACTGAACTACTGGCAACTCTGTGGAATTCGGTTATGGAATTAAAGGCAAAAATCTATTCCTGCATCTTTTTCCACAGGAAAGAATTTTTTGAACCTTTGAAGCTGATTAAACGTACCATTACAGCATGTGACTAAAATGTAACTGCCTCACTAGGTTAGATGTAATTTACAAAAAAACCAAGAAGTTTAAGACAGCCTGTAAAATACTTCTTTGTATATATATGTAAGAGCACAGCTATACTTTTTTTTAAATTTTATTTTGTTATGTTAATCATCATACATTACACATCATTAGTTTTTGATGTAGTGTTCTATGATTCATTGTTTGCGTATAACACCCAGTGCTCTACTCAATACGTGCCCTCTTTAATACCCATTACCAGGCTAACCCAACCCCTCACCCCCTTCCCTCTTATAAAAAGAAGGAAAGTGAGACGTGGCCAGAACCTACTCAAGGGGTTAAAATGGTGAAAATTTCAGAGAGACATAGTTAACAAATGAAAGAAAGCTTTTCAATGAAGATCATGACACGGTACTCTTTGTACTAACTACTAATATTCCAATCATCAAGCACCCTTTGAGATCTAACATAAGTTTGTTACAGGACTAGTAAGAGATCCACTGCACTCAGTTGAAATGTTTTGTTCCTTGGTGCTCTGAAATGCTTTCAAAATTAGATTAACAACTAAATATTGATTAAAGTATCTGTCTCTCTTTTTAGAAATACCTGTTAATGAAGTGAACAATTACAGAGCATGCTCGTGCAGTACAACTCCTGCCCCCATAGAAAGCATGTGCAAGAGAACTCAACAGTGTGCATGCCGAGCTTGAACAGCACTTCAACATTTAGCATCATTCTATCTAGGTGCCATCCTAAGGATAGGTATCTTATAAATGTTAATAAGATTAAATTGCTTCTTCAGTATATAATAAAGCATCTCCAATAACTGTTGTGTGCCATCCCAGTCCTTTCTTTAATGAATATGTGATCACATTCCTATTTATCTCATTAAAACTAATGGTTACTGTATCTACTACAAGGGGGGAAGAGTAAGAAAAGGGGTTTTCTGAGAAAAGTCATGAAATGCCCTTTAGTAGGTTCACAATGCAAAATTCTGAAGGCTGCAATTAAACTAAATTCTAATTATTTAATAAAATTCACAGGTCTACATACTTGAAAATGTCAAGTTATAACAAGGTACTGTATGGATCCTGCACTTAACAAGATCCATTTTCACTACTAATCTGATATACAACTAATACATAAAACTTCAAGAATTATCTACTGCAAAAAGGTCCATCTTTAAACATGAATGACTCAAAATTCATGATGTAATATTTATATCATGTATTCAAAATACTCACTTTTCAGCAGAAATGACTATAGTCCATTATCAATTTCTCAGAGATTGATTATAATTTAAACATTAAGCTCTGTCTCCCTCTTCCAACAGGGAATGGTGAGATAGGCAGGTACAAGAAAAACAAGGTGTCTACTGACATGATCTGTGTTAACAACTGAACCAGAAATAAGCTGGACCAACCAATTTTAGACCACTCTTACCTAAGATGCTTTTCATATAAGGTTTATGGTGTATTTAACAATAAAAAATAATCTAAATCGTTAAGTACCCAAAGGATGGTTTTAATTCTACAAAATACTGAGTTAATTCTCCATCGTAACAAAGAATATAAGATTGTAGGATCATTTGATAGTATAGGCTGTCATCTGCATCAAGTTCCTCATATTTTATGCATGCTGTATTATGTAAAATGTCATTTTGATTAAATGTAATAATCAATCCTGTTTATATTTAAGGAAAAAAGTTATGACTCTGGCTTTTCTTTTTAAGTAACAAACAAAAGTTAGCTTATATACAGATGATTATACCCTAACGCATGTCCTTTCTTTCTTGTT